CTAGTGCGCACTAATGAATCTCACGAGCGAGATCGTGGATGCGCACTGCTGAAGAGTCTCACAAAGAATGATCAAATTTGAACTGCTACATAAGGTGTAGTAAGTAAACAAAAAGAATAAGTAGATTGAAAATAATGACAATCGTAACAATAAACTATACAAACGATTTTGAGTTACTTATCAGATAATAATAATTTATAATAAAATTACAATGAATGGGCAGTTTCAACATGTTTAATGGTGTTATATTCCGATGAACTAATACGATACATATCCATGTTCCTCTTATTTCGACCCATAGACTACTATATTCGATTTACCATTCTCATGTTATGCCTTGTCTATCAACTACTATCTCCTTCATTCACAGACATATTTGGCTAAATCTTGTACAAATGTTGTATCCTATTTTATGGTACGATGTGGTCTGCTTGATTGGTATATAAACCCCGTATCTTTGAACTAAATGATTCATATCGCAGACGCTGAGATTAGTGTTCTGGACTTAACAGACAGTTAAGATTAGGCAGGAAGAAGGACCGACAAAGAATCTAGACTGCTCGTACTTGTTTTATGCGTTATCGGTCCGGTCGATAATTCACTGTTCTTTAATTAGCAGTATTATTGCATTACATATTAATAGAGCACAAGTTCCAATAAATGGACATTTAAATTATTAATTTATGTAAGACGAAAGAAAAAAGTGTTAAAGTTAAAAATGAGTTAAGACTAGAAATAAAGTTTGTAATAGAAGAGTAAATGGCGAGACTGTAATTTATGGACGAGCCAATCAGAAGCGTTTTGGAGATTCCAAGGTTACGGCGCCAATTTCAGTGCTTAATGCTAACGTACGATGGGTTCACAACGAATTTTGTACAAAACGTGATAATTGAGTGGCTATAACAAATAAAACGGCGAGACTTTAGTCTGTGAACGAATTAATCGGGCATAAGATAATAGAACTCGGATTTTAACGCGAAAACCTATCATCCTTTTGGTTAAATAAACTCCTGGCATTATAGCTTGATGTCAGTTCGTGATGGAAACCACATATATAATTCCTAACTAAGGCGAATTATGACAATTATCGCGAACTGGATAATAAAAGCACCAGTTACACTTGGTGCAGCCAGGTACTACAATATGTACGGATGATTGGAGAGCGTACAGACTCCTACACAGGCTTGGTTATGTGCATCATGTCGTTATCCACAAGTAGAATTTTGTGTACTCAACAACCGGAGTGCACATTAACAATATTGAAACTATGTGGTCGAGGCTGAAAGAGTTTTTGAACTTTATCATGGTCCAAGAGACCACTATTAAGGAGCCATATAGATGACTTCCTCTACTGCATGTATTACGATTTTAGAACCTTTGAAACTCTTTCTAACCTCGACTAATTTGTGAACCATGTAAACTAAATGCATCCAATTTAATTCGTTGGTTTTGTATATTTTTTGTCTATGCCAACTGCTTTCTAATTGGCTATTTCTCATGGTCACTTAAGATTCATTTGTCCATAAATTATAGTCTGACTGTTTAATTCAATATGAATATTGATGGTTCAATAGTTCTGCATAATAATAATAATTATGAAAACAGTTTACAATTGCTTTTACAAGTGATATTATACTATGATTTAAGTTAACTTGACATTTTGATTATGTTCAATTCTCTGAACCGGTTAGTTTAATTGTGAAACTTTCATTGTTACACTGAGCATTACTACTAATAATATGTGTATCCATCATTTCAACTGCTCCTGTGGAGCCAGTTATATATGGTGTACAATTCGGCAAGTTCGTCATCGTATAACAGAGTACCATCCGTTGTGGTTGAGCAAAGGACAGGTAAGAGTGATTAAGAATTCATCCAGTTGAACTGAATAAAGCTTTTAAAGTTATCTACCATATTCCATCCAATTTCACATGGTTTACGAGTGCGTCTTTTTTTGCACAGTGCTGAAGCCATCGCAATCCATATTCACAAGTCTAACCTTTGCATGATAAAGAAGTTTGTTCAACCACTTTCGCTACATTGGCCGTCGATATAGGGACCCTTGTAGCAAAACTATTTTCATACTTTTTCCATTTTGTTTTTCTTTATTTTTTGACCTTTGTATTTTCGTATTTTTTCTCGACATTCATCTCTTGATTCTAACATAACTACTATTCAACTGACCAATCATTAAGATATTCTGTTCCTTTTTCTTTTTTTATATATTATGCAACGAGACAACTTCTTGATTATCGAATAATTACTTTGATTATGATTAGTCCTCTTACTTCCAATTACTCAATGTTAATTTATAATCGAATTATCATTATATAATTATTACGTAATATATCCACTCGATGAGTATTATGTCATCATTGTAAATCATACTTAGATATACTAATATAGGGGTTGTGGAGATTATTAAGTTTTTCATTGTGACCGAAGGCCCTGGGTTCGAATCCCGCGAGCGGGATTGTGAATGCGCACCGCTGAGGAGTCCCACAATAGGACGAAACGGCCGTCCAGTGCTTCCAGATTTTCAACTGTGGTGGTCTAACATCAATCGGTTCATGATCTCAAACAAATACTCAGATATATTAGTGTAGAACCATGATAAAGAACCAATTGAGAAAAAATTTCTTCACTCAAATCATTCCTTCTTTATATACAACAACGCTGAAATGCTGTTATTCATCTCAGATAGGAAGATTAGTTCTATTATCATTATTAGTAGTAATATTAAACTACAATAGTAATTAAAACTAATGACAGTTATTAATACAATCAAAATTTTATGACACTTCAGAAATTTTAAATACATATGAATTAGTAGATTGGTTGAAGTTTAACGTTAACACTGTTGGATGTCAGCTCAGTGGTCTACAGTTTAAGCGTTCGTGTGCGAGACTGAAAGGTGTTGGGTTGTAATCTGGCTAGGTGGGATCGTAGATGTGCACTACTGTGAAGTCCCACAATAAGATGAAACAGCCGTTTAGTGCTTCCAGGTATTCGATAGTGGTTTAGCTTAATTTACTTATGATTTCAACTATTAAAAGTACTATAATATCTACAAAACCCCTTCTGATATTAATCAACATATGCTCATTAGTGATTGGCTTCAATAGATACTTCCTGAAGTTTTAGTGCGAAACAGTAAACAAAAGAGTTCAGCCGAGTATGTTGTGAGATAGTAACTCACTGAAGACTATGATGGATGTGTCACTCAATTTCGTGGATTGACTGAAGTTAAACATTTAAACGCTCACACGCGAGACGGATATGTACTGAGTTTGAATCTCTCGAGGCGGGATCATGGATGCGTACTATGAATCAGTCCCATAAACAAGACGAAACAGCCATCTAGTGCTTCCCAGTTTTCCATGTATGTCTAGCTTCAATTGACTCATGAATCCAACTATTAAATATGAAAATATCAGAAGTAAAAAAGAAAATCCACAATGGAGAAACATTTATTTCGATGTGTTATATACAGAACATAAAACAGACATAATAATAATTATTATTATTATCATTATTGTTGCGCACACACACACACACACACAAACTTAAGACAATTAGATGTACAAAATGGGGATTAAAAAAAAGGAACTTGAGAAAAGAAACAAAATCTAACAACAAACAACAATAAACATTGACTTACTGTTTGCTTGTAACTATGCATGTGTTTTTTGTATGTAAAACAGAAGGAACAAAAAAATGAGGGGGGGGATAGTATACAATAAAATCTATAATTTCAAATAATAATAATTTCTAATTAAAATGGGTTAAAAGATTTTTTTTTTTTAAAAAATTTATTTTTAATTTTTTAAAACAAAGAGGGGGAGAGGGGAGATTTTTTTCTTTTACTTTTTTTTCTCTTAAAAAATATTTTTTTCTTAATTTAAACTTCTTTTTTTTGGATGGATTCATGATTATTTTATTATAATTGAACATAGAAAATGTGGAAAATAAAAGAGGAAAGCAGGGTAACCAGCCAACCAACTAAGCAAGCAAATAATCAACCAGCCAACTAAGTAAATAAATAAATAAATTCATTCTTATTCAATCCTTAAATAAACTTTAAACATAAACGAGGTTTATGGTGCCTTTTCTTTTTTTTTTTTAGAAAACAAAAGTAAAGAACAGTCATCAATTTGAAAACGGTTGTTTAAGTTCTGCGTTAACAACGACACCACCACCACCACCAACAACAACAACCAAAAGGATATCTTTACACTATGAATAGGAATGTACAATAGCCTTATACACTGAATGTATATTAAAGAAAGAAAAGAAGAAAGAAAGAAAAAAATACTCTCTCTATTTCTTATCTCATTTATCATTGATATTTTATAGTGTAGGAGGCAATCGTTATATATTTCATTCGACAAGATGTGCATCTTTAGCTAAAGAATAAAATGCTGAATTTTTATTTTGTAATAACATTTTTGGACTATCTAGTTCTTTCATTTGACCATCTCAAGGACAAGAATGCTGAAATGGAGGTTAAATTTGAAAAAAAAAAGAAAAGAAAAGAAAAGATAGATAGAACGATTACTATAAACAAACATAATCTTAGAAAAATTTAAAGAAAGATTTTATTACTTATAAAAATGACTGAAAAACAGTTGAATTCATGATTCAATTAAAACTAAACTATCATGGAAAACCTGGAAACACTGGAAGGGCGTTTTGTTCTACTCCTCAACAGTGAGCATCCACGATCCCACCCATGAGATTCGAACCCAAGATCTATCGATTTTAGTTGTGTAAGTTTCTTCCCTAAAAGTAGTCAACTAGAACAGTTTATATGTTTAAACCTTGTTCAATCACTGTCAAAGAATTTGGTTTGCTTCTTTTCGAAAATCTGAAACGTTTTAATACAGTTGACGCCCTAAGTCCTACATGAGGTCAGTCGTGGCCCACACTGTGAAGTTGAGTGAAACAGGATCAAGTCTTACAAATTACGAGTAGATCATTATTTAAATAAAACATATATTCTAACGGTAGAATTCGATCAACGTTAATGACGGAATAATACAAAAATGATAATGATGAATAATACACAATGATCGATTTGTGTTGACTGATTGTTTATTTTTTGGACAGCTATAAAAATAGTGTGAACCAAAATGAAGCATATCAAAACTGTACTTGGTAAGTGATTTGCAATGATAGTTTAGCCTTAAAACTAGAGAGGGTTAGACACTTGCTTTATCTTAGCATGGAATCCTTCAACCGTATGAACTCAAGACGACGAGTGCATCAATTATACACCAATTACTCGAAATCTAATGATACCATCTCTAAAACTAGTCGTTACATTATCAGATATAAACAAGAATACACAATATTATCAATACATACCGATCATAATCTAGAACTGTATTTAATCGATGAGCAATAGTAATTACAGTACAAGAAGAAAATTCTCGACGAATAGTTTCTTGAATTAAATTATCCGTTTGCATATCTATAGCAGCTGTAGCTTCATCTAATACAAGAATTGAAGTATGCCGAAGTAAAGCTCTTGCAAGACATACTAATTGTCGTTGACCAAGACTAGAGAAAGAAATTTTTGTAAAATTTGCATATTTCTAAACAAAATTATTACTGATACATTGTAAAACAAACAGATTATTAGAATTACAGAATTGGCGGGCGAGAAAGGTTGGGGGGGGGGTAATCAGAACGATCTATTCAATCAGTCTAGTGAGTTTTTCGGTGATTAATTTTCGTAAACCCAGTGATCACAATTAGACAGTTTACAATGGTATGTTATAAATCTTGCATACACATAAGTACAAACTATTAACATCTTATATAGACGGGTTTCAAGTACCTTCAAAAGAATATTCATTGCAGAAGCTTTGACATCATTGTCCTTTGATAAACTTGTGTTTCTCTGTCAATCGTAGGACAAACTTTCGATGTAAAAAGTTCGAAAATGATTCTCAAGAAGTTTTTTTTTCAATTTAAAACAACTATGTATACAAACGTCAGGAAGGCCTACAATCGCTTTGATAATTTGGTTATCAACACAATATGCAGCAACAAACTCGAAGTTATGCAAGTGTCATATCACAGAGTGGAATGATCTGAAGTCGTATCAGTCAGCTACTATATAGAATATATTCCCATTTTAAGATAAAGGAGATTATAATTTATCAATCAATGTAACAAAATGGTAGTATGTTTTCATTACAATTCAGTCATCTATATAACTTATCTATCTAGTTTATCAGAATTAGAAGAAAGATCTCACGAAGTAATCCTAGATATCATGAGCCAACCTTAGATAAACAACCAATGAAAACCAGGAGGTATTGGACACTGTTTAATCTCAGTACAGGACTCTTTAGTAGTATCCGTTGAAAATTGAACCAAGATTCCTCAAGTCCAGTACATAGTCTCCAGTCGTTAGACTATCAAGTCGGCAACCAATGTTTTATGCCTCATTTCAAACGATTAGCGATACTGCGCAACTATCAATACATTAGTGACTGTTTCTCACTAGGACTCCAGAAATTGCCTCTCAAAATTAGTCACTAATGAGAACATGATTGTGAAGATAGTTAAAAATTTTAGTTTGATATCATGAACTAACTTTGGTTGCACAAAAGTGGAAACTAGGAAGCACTAATTACCTATATAATATGAGACTCCTCAACAGTTCCCATACACGACTCCATTGAAGACTAAGCTCATGTATAAAAGTATCAGTTGTTGCTAAACTAAAGTCTCTCCATGATGTAAACTGTAAATTGGACAACTTCTACAAATCCCTTACACCGTTTCAAACAGTCACTCAAGTTCGCCTTTATGACATGAATTTAATCGCTGAACAAACATTTAACAAAAAAAACCGAACACACTAACTAACCTTATATTGGAACCACCTTCTGAGATGTTCATATCCAAACCATAATTAGCATCATTATTATTATTAGCATCTTTTATAAATGATTTTAAATTAGCTAATTCAAGTGCATGCCAAATAGCTTCATCTGTATAATGATTGAATGGATCCAAATTAAAACGTAATGTACCAGAGAAAAGGATAGGATCCTAGTAAACAATTAATACAAAAAGAATGATAGTCATATAAAGTAAACAAAACCGTATTAACATTAAATAATAGACGGTAGTTTACGATAGTTAACATAAGCAGTTTTGGATCTACCTAATGCTGTTGGAGATATAAAAGCATCCGATATTCCCCAGTTACTTACTCTGTGAAAGAATGCTTCTCCTAAAAAAAAACTGGATCCGGGTTGGTTTAGACGACAGAACAGTGTAATCATGGCACCCAACTAGCAACTGCTTGACACCGATCACACTTTTTAATCGGAGATAGTATTATTCTCAGACAATTGAATTTCAGATCAATGGTTTACAGATGAGTTGAAAGTTTTGGTTTTCACTCAACCTTGAAAAAGGTTGAATGTATTATGTTGATAAGTCGAGAACGACGACAAAATGTGTTTAGTGCTTTTTGTTTTACAATTGTTGTCCAGAAAACTTCAGTCGATGATTTATACCCTATTTATAAGCGTACATTTAACCTGTTACATAAATACTCTCTCTTTCATAGTCTTATGATCATTACATCCAAACAATTTAAATGACTATAAAAAGATGAATTAATATCGTGAATTGTATTTATTTAAGCATATAAATATTGGTACAAGAAGGCACCAAATACATATGCGCCACACAAGTCACTTGATTGTGTATGTGGGCTATTATACTGCTCGAGTGCCCAAACTGAAGCACATGGTTTTCTTAGGGGGTCACATCCAGAGACCTTGACCTAAATGTCTTATCCACAAAGCAGTGGAGCAACGTAAGTAGATGCAGTCCAATGGTAACCGGTCACCAACCATAGGTTCATACCCATTTGTTTCCTCAGGACACTGGTGCCTATGTGCACCATAGATTTGGAATCCGGTTAAAGCGCCGGACATTCGCTTTCCGTCCTCTCATTTTCGTAAACAACAGTAATGCCACAAGAAGGCACTGAGTAGAACTTCCCTGGCAGAGGCTGTATACGCGCGGCCGTGTGAGAGTATTTCGAAAGGGAGTGCTAACTCTCCACACTCTTAGCGATACCAGGGCATTTGAGGAGATTAACATCATTGTGTGCCAGCTTAGTGGTCTAGAGGTTAAGTGCTCACGAGCGAGACCGGATACCCTAGGTTCGAATCCCACGTGCAGAATTATAGATGCGCATCGTTGAGGAGTTCTACACTAGAATGAAATGATCGTTCAGTGTTTCCAAGATTTTCCATAATGATCTAACATTAATGGATTCACTTTTTCTTTTTACAATAAATACAACAAAATTCAAAACATAATAATCGATAACAACAAATCTCAACACCATGAAACAAGAAAAAGGACACTCTTTCAAAGTTTCATTAATTAGTGACGAAAAAAATAATGAAACATCTGAAATATTTTAATGCGGAGATAAATAAAATTTAAAAAACAAACAGTTTTCAAAACAACAATTAGGTTGTTTTGACATTTTTTTTTGAGGGGGTGGAGGTGGGGGGTGGGTAAATAGAAACAAATTGTTTGTTTGTTTGTTTCTATTTGTTGTTTCCTCTCTCTCTAACTGTCTACTCGAAAACTAAACATAAAAACTAATTAGAAACATAAAAAGAAGAGATTTTTGTAAATAATAACACTATTTAACAAACATGTTAGACAACTATTAAAATAGAGGAAAATATTGAGTATATGGAACTCAAAACAACTGTGTCGGTCAATCAATAACAAAGTTAGAATCTTGAAAACCAATGTGAAGATAGTTCTACTGTACAGACCTGAAACTTCGAGAACTACTACAACTATCATCAAGGAGGTAGAAGTATTTATAAATAGTTTTCTACGAAAGATACTCAACATGCATTGGCCGGATACTATCAGCAACAGCCTACTGTGCAAGAGAACAAACCAGCTTCGAGTTGAAAATAACATTAGGAAAAGACGATGGAAATGGATAGGACATACATTGAGCAAATCATCAAACTACATCACGAGGCAAGCCCTAATTTGGAATCCTAAAGGTCAGCGGAAAAGAGGATGGTTAAAGGGCACATTATATCGGGAGATAGACGCAGATATGAAAGGGATGAATAACAACTGGAAGGAGCTGGAAAGGATTGTTTGAGACAGGGTTGGACAGAGAGTGCTAGTGGGCGGCCTATGCTTCTCGACGAGGTAAAACAGGCGTAAGTATGTAATGTGGTTAATAATGGAATCCAAGATATAAATTTCATTCTATTTAGAACTTGTCAACAGCTAAATGGGAGAATTATGTTAAAGTATGAACTTATAGGCATTGGGTTCTAGTAACAATGTGAACATTAACATAAAGATGCTTGTCCTGGATTCAACTATTAATCACTATCTAAATATATTAACAACTTTTGGGAAAAGACTATGTTGAGACAATCTACCCTTTATGTACATAATAACAACAAAGATTAATCGATTGTCATCTTAAACACGAACAATAGAAAATAACGGATCGTTAGTAAGATAGTACCCCATTTGAACTCATTAATGACTTTTATCAATTGTTCTAATAAACAAGATGAAGTAATCATATCATAGGTATGGTCAGTGAGGTGTCACTGAACCCTAGCCAAATCATTCGACAGTTGGATCACTTGAATATCAAACAGATCATCGATTTCTGTCAATGTCAAGGAAAAAAACGCGCATCAGTTAATTGTACGCCATGAACTGGCCCATGAGATATTGGTCGTACTTTCGCTTGTACTTATTCTTAATAATATATTTCCGTAATAACGTCCTTTGGGTTGCATGGTCTTCAAAGCAACTATAGTACTTTGATACGTCGAAGAGGTAATCGATATTAGACGCTGATCGTAAGATGTGACTTCAAAGTTAGCTGTTGATCACACTATTTCGTTTAACTCCAGTAGGCCTCTAATCATTCGACAAAGATCATCTATGTTGGTGATCTATTAATATTTACTAGTTATTAAGTTGCAGAGAAATAAAGAACCGAAATTCGACTATTTCATTGTCCATTTATGGCCTATTAACTTACACTAACATTATTTCATTTTACAATATAATTGAAGTAAACAATGATTGGTAATGAAAAACTCACTTATTAAAAAGAACATATTAATATATTAGAAGATTTACTATTGTCACTTATTATTCTCTGAAGAAGTGACTTACACTAAGTTACGAAACGTCAGAAAGTCTGATTTTTCTATTCATTGGGATATCAACATATGTATTATCTCTATTTATAACAATCTACCCAATGCTCAAGGAGTACACAATAGTCAGTTAACTATCTCATCATTTTTTGTTTAGCATGAACTCAGTGTGACAGTGTTAGCAGGGCATAGATTGAATTAAAGCATGTTCCATGCATAATTGTGTTGGTGCACTTTGATTGGCTATTTCTTATCTAATCACCGCTAATGGATGGCTTGGAGAAGACTCTAGAGTCTTCTCATGTAAAAACAATTGTGCTTCTTATTTCCATCTACCCTTGTTATTTGGAATATAATTTCATTGCTGTTCAACTGTGTTCTGATTTGAAGATTTGTTGAGTGAATTGATGTCCAAGAATACTAAGCAATAAGAATAGTCAGGTTGTAATAAAAGAAATTATAACGGACAGTGATCGACAGAAACAGAGAGGGAAAACGCATACATTTGTAGTTTAATATCTTATGTATTACATTTTTTGACAGTACTATAGGTACTTGATCAAAAACATCTTATTTATCTAACTGATAGGTAATGATACACAATACTTACTTGAGGTATTAATGTTAAACGATTTCTCAAATCATGTAAGCCAATTTTTGATATATCATAACCATCAATGAGTATTTTACCTTCAGCTGCTTCAAGCATACGGAATAATCCAAGTACTAGAGAAGATTTACCTGAACCAGTACGACCAACAATACCCAACTAAATAATAACAAAAATTAAAGTATCAGAAAGGGTTTTTGCGGATATTATAGTAATTTTAATAGTTGAGATCATGAGTCAATTGAAGTGAGATCACCATGGAAAACTTGGAAGCACTGGAGGGCCGTTTCGTCCTACTATAGGACTCCACAGTGACAGTGCGCATCCACGATCAGCGACTCAGCGAGGTTCGAACCCAGGGTCTATCAGTCTCGCGCACGAGCTCTTAAGCACTAGACCACTGAGCCAGCCGGCATCCAATGGTGATGTTATTCAACTATTTAAATCGAAGATGGTGAACTGGGATTCGAACCCTAATCTGTTGATTGATTGATTGATTGATTCGAAGTAGGCGCTCATAAGAGCACTAAATTTATATCATCCAACTCAAAAGAATGTGATATATATATCATAATTTCTTGCCTTATTAGGTATATCGATCATTTAAAAGTACATATATACAATCATAGAAAAATGTATAATGAAAAATAAAACTTACTTTTTCTCCTTTATCTACTTTAAAATTAATTGATTTTAAAGCTAAATTTAATTCAGATCGATATTTTGTACCATAATTAATAAATTCAATGATACCTTCAGGCCAATTACTTGGTAAATAACTACAATCTAATTCCCATGGTGCCTAATTTTAACAAAACAGATACATATATACATACATAGGACTCATTAAATGATTTGACAATTAATCAATAAAAAATATTGAACAAATAATTTATTTCTTTTTTGTTTTGATTTAAACTATGAATCAATTGATGTTAGACCACCAATGAAAACCTGGAAGTACTGAACGACCGTTTCGTCCTATTATTGTGGGACTCCTCAGCAGTGCGCATCCATGATACAGCTCGCGGGGTTCGAACCCAAGGCCTTCGGTTTCTCGCGTGAACGCTTAAACTACTGAGAAACTTTTTGTTTAAAATCGTATCAAAGTAGGAAAACATAATTTAAAACTTTCCTTTAAACTACTTTTTAAAAACATTATTATGGTTACTATTTGGAATGACAGTTTGCATGACAGTTTTTTTTTTACTTTTCATCCCATTTTAAAAAGTTTTTTCCTTAACATTCCATTTCATCCAATTGAATGATTAGTTTTAAATTCATTATAATTGATTAGAAATTATAAGCTCTGTCATTTCTCATGTTGTCACGGATACAGAAACAAATGTTCTTGAATACATTGTATATGGCAACGTTCTAATCCGATCGAATCGATAGCATCTATTAATTGTTCAGAGTGATCGGTTGATTCATCAACCAATGTACTTTGACAAATCTGTGTCTAAATAACTGAATACAATAGTCATTAAATGTGTCAGGTTCTTGATTCGATATAATAAAGATTGGTTGATCACTTGGTGGTGATCAATGTCACGCGTGTCAAGTCTTTCTTAGTGCAGATGGAATCCTATCGACAAAATTACAATATGGCCACTAGTCTAGATGACTCGACATTGCATGCACTATGTTGAGATAAGATGGTGGTTAGAGGTAGTGAATAGGAAAGCCTGGACCAAGGTTACGTGCTACTTGGCACTTGTCACCAAAGTGTACCTGTTATCTTAAGGGAACTAACACTCCCCGATGGATTTGATAGCGTGTCACTCAGCTTCACAGTTAGAGACGTTACTACTGAGGCTATCCGGATCGCGACTAACCTCTTGAAGGATTGAGATGTATTACAATTGATTGATCACTGGATGGTGATCTTAATGCAGATCGAATCCTATCGACCAAGTCACAATATGATCAACAGTCTAAGTGAATCAATATTGTATGGATATTAAAACGTATAATTGATATCTAAGAATGTAATACCGTAAACACTCAAATTAAAGCTCTAAAGATAGTCAACTTCAATGATTTATACAAATCCCAAAAAAAGACAAAAGAATAACTAATACACTTTGTTAGTTCTATATAGAACAGATTGATATACGGTAAAACATAAGAAGTAATCTATGAATCCATAGAATTCATGTAATAAATTTAGTCTATAAAAGTTACTTCTCCTATGAAGGTCAAAATAAGTTCAAGGTTACGTAACTGATAGCATTAATTTCTGATTGGTCAATTATATTACCGATGAAATAGATGAAGATTTTATTTATTTTCTTAATTAGTAAATGTTTCCCTATTTTTAGGCTAGAAACTAAAATGGTTATGTTTATTTGAAGTTAGACATTAACACCATTGGATGCCGGCTCAATGGTCTAGTTGGTTGGGTTCGAATCTCGTGAGGTGCGGGATCGTGAATGCGCACTGCTGAGGAGTCCAGTATTAGGACAAAACGGCCATCCAGTGATTCCAGGTTTTCCATAGTGGTCTAGCTTCAATTAACTCCACAAACTCCTTCTGATTATGCGTATTCACTAACCTAACCCAGTTTCTCTTTTTTTCTTCATTTATTAACACAGAACACAATTCAAATGACTTTGAGCCATACTGTATGAGAGAGAGAGAGAGAGAGGCATGATCTACCAGACTTTTCAAGCGAATTTAGATGGAACTGTCTATTGGTCGAACCTTAGTGACTATTTTATGTTTTGAAAGATATGAACTGACAAAAAATGTAATTTTCACAACAAATCAGTATTCAAGAAAAGTATATTTTGTTTCAGATGTGATTCTCTATATATGTTTTTGAACGCGTTAACAATATAATGTATGAATTCACTAGGGAAATTTGATCATTTTCAATTACTTTTATGAAGGTTTTCAACCATCGGTATCTTTTGTCGCTTCAAACATATCAAAATAGCATCTAGACATTTTATAGATTTCACTAATTGAAATCATGAGTCAATTGAAGTTAGACCATCATGGAAAATCTGGAAGCACTGGACGGCCGTTTCGTTCTAGTATGGGACTCCTCAGCAGTGTGCATCCATGGTGGTCTAGCTTCAATTCAATCATGATTTCAATTAGTGAAATTTCTAAAATCTCCACAAAACCCCTTCTGATTTCATAGATTGACTAATTAAATAGTTTGTTCTCTCTCAACACTGACATATGTGGTTAGGTATATGTTAGATATTTCACAACCACATCAATTAATAAAACAATACAAATAGATCGTCTCATTCACATTATAGACTAATCATCATCTTATTCAGAGTCGTAACCATGCACAGGTATTTGATGTAGTAAATCAGACGAAAAACTTCTTTCGATAACAGTACAACATGTGACGTCGAAGAGAGATCAAAGTAAAAAGTAACACAAAGATAATTGACCTTCGACATTGTGTTCATCAAAGAATCTCCAACGGTACAAGCGTTATGAGATTCTAACACGGTGTTTCAGTGTTGTTCATATCACAGGCTAAAGTTAACAGCTTGACATTTAGACGGATTGAGTATAAGAGTATTAAAATTTTTGAATGACTCATATTCTCACTATTAAAATGAATTTGATATATGAATATGATTGAATAGTTATTTAGTATAGAACTCATTCTAATCTGATTTAACATTGATTATTTCTCTGAAGTAACTTAGAATAGATATTGTGATTGACACATTTCGAAATTATTTCCTAATTTCAGCCTTTAACATCCACAAATCTAAATTCTTTATTATTTCAGCAGTTTATCCGTCTATCGACCAAAGGACGTGTTCACTGTGCAGCAGTTCGTTCCGTCCTACATTATGGCTGTCAAACATAGCTGGTAACAGTAGAGGATATTCGTAGGTTACTAGTATTCGATCATAGGTGTCTTCAAAGCGTTGCTCGTATATCCTGGGACCACCGAGTAAGTAATGCAGTTGTTAGGAAACGGGTACTAGGCAAGGATGACAAATCAATTAATGAAGTAGTGAAAATTCAACAGTTGAGATGACTGGGACATGTGTTACATATGCCCAAACACTGACTGCTCCGATGAACTGTTTTATGATGTAGGAGTAGGTTGTAAGAAAGCTAGGGACGGTCAAATCAAAACATCGCACAAATATATGAAGTCACTGACAAATAGACTGGGCCATGTTAGTTGGTGTAGACTAACTGGTTGGGATCCGCGAGACGATATCAACCGATGGTTAGAGACCTTGAATGAAATGGCTCAAAATCATTTGCAATGGCACAGGCGCATCCACTCTTTGTGTTTTCCCAATTTCCATTTTTCTGAATTATTCATATCCTTCTATTTTTTCTCTTTTCAAATTTCTTTCATTGGATTATATTCCTTGTATAACATCTTCAAACCTTAATCTTTTCGATCGCTGTCTATACTTTTACTACTATCACAAATAATTAAAGACTTATAGACTGTTGAACCTGATGATGATGATGATGATGATGATGATGATGATGATGATGATGATGATGATGATGATGATGATGATGATGATGATGAAGTGTTCCCTCAAATATTCACTATTATTACTTTTTTAAAGAATAACAGTTGCCTTGTGATAGACAGAAATGGTAATATATATATATATATATATATATTCAAAATGTTACTTACCTCTTGTTCAATGGAAGAATATTCATGTATTCGTTCTATACATACAATATTTGTTTCTAATTCTGAGAACATACGTACAAGCCAATTTAATGTTTGATTTAAATTTAATGCATAAGTAATAACAAGACCAGAGAAACCAGCGGATAAATAACCTTGAGCAACAACTGATAGAATAGCAACAGCTAATATAACTGAATTACCAACAAGTTCTAATAAAACTGCAAGCCATCTATATATTTTGTTATTAAAAAAAGGAAAATATTTGAAGACTATGTAAACTGGCACATGTATATATATGGATGCAAGGAAAGTAATGATGATTCATTCTAAGTATTTTAAATCATAAAGTATCTTTATGAACTTGATGGTGTTTTACTTGTATCTTCCGATTGCTATTTAGCACTGCAATGGATCAGTCTCTTAATATTAGTATATGTGCATCCTGTGCGGACGACTGCCACGATATTGCCTGAAGTCACAAGCTATATAAACAAAGATGAATAGTGACTAACAGTGATTGATCAAATATAGTCTTAAATGACAATGGGAAGATACAAGTAAACAATACCAAGTGAATATAATTTCACCTCATTACACAAGGAGGTGACTATCATAATTCAGTAGGTAAGTGAATAACGCAGTAACGTTTGAAGCGAACGGTACTGAAGTCGAGTCCCTCCCAAAGTAAACATCGACTCTGAAATGCAGGTACATCCAGTTGACCAGTCCTAAATAGGATATTAGAGTAATTTCAGTAGTTGAGATCATGAGTCAATTGAAGCTAGACCATCATAGAAAACCTGCAAGCAGTGCACGACCGTTTCGTCACAGTATGGGACTCCTCAGCAGTGCACATCTACGATCCTGCCTCGCGAGCTGTTATAATAAAACACTTCACTACCAATTTTTATGATCATGAACATGTTTCAAATGGATAAAATGATAAATAAAATGTTGATTGATAGATAATGTACAATGATACTGTATGACTAACGAATAGCTTTTAAACATATTAGATTATTAAAGTATCCTCTATGAATTAAATGTTAAATGGTTAGTAGAATAGTTGTTTGCTTTTCATAAAATGACATACATAAGAAAAATTATCAGTATAGGGGTCGTGGAGATTATTAAGTTTCGATTGATATCATGAATGAATTAATGTTAGACTACTGATAAAAATCTGGAAACACTAGATGGCTGTTTTGTCCTAGTATAGAACTCCTCCACAGTGCGCATCCACAATCCCACACATAGGACTCGAACCCAGAACCTTCGATCTCGCACGAAAACGATTTTAAAAAAACTATTTATCATAAAAATTGAACAGGATTATACGTTAGTTAAACGATTATTACATCTTGAATGAGAGATCCAGGATATATGTTTAATTAAGACTAGTAACTTTGATCTACATACATCCTAGTGTTAGTGTTAAAATTGAAACTTGAATCAAATGTGCAACTATAAGGCTATATCGAAACAGTTCAATCAGGATGTACACATAAAGATAGAAACTGATCAATTATCAGAGATAGGGATGCTGAAACTCATATTCATATAAACGAATATAGGATATAAGTTTCATAACTCATTCAAATACAATCAAAATGAATCCTTGGACACGATATCTGATATATGAAATAAACTAAGAAATGATTGAATGAATGTGTTACTTAATACCCATTTGACTATGAATATTAAATGGCCTTGGATAAGTGCTTATTTATTAGTAGGCTAAATCTCAGAGTATAAAAGTGAAGTACGCACTATGTTAGGAACGATTTGTCACCAGTGTATTAATTCAAGAAAACAAGAGAACGTTCAGCAGTCAAATCAAAGAAAGAAAACGTAATCTGTCATTCAAATATGAATATCAATATATGTATTGGTTATAAATTATTGACTAATTGTATTTACAAACATAAACGAAAAGGTTAACTGTTGAGGACGTTAGATCCCCAGAACTTATTTGGAAAAGGTTTTAATTTTGTTATTTTATTCTGAAAATTTGAGATTTATGTTTTCGCGCCAAGAGACGCTTAGTTGACCAACAGTTTACAGTTCCTACTCGGCAATCCTTGACTATCATTGGTTGACGGATTTTTAGTACGCTATTTTGTGGCTCTCTCAAGGGCATTTCTATCATTGTATAAATAAGCTTGACTTGTGTGCTTAGTGACCTTGTATTTTATGGGTGCTTATAAGATACATTCTCTACGCCTCGTCGACACTCCTTGATCTAGTTATCAGGGCCGGGGACAACGGATTAGAATAGCCTATCGTGTCACTGTATCGTTGACCTTCGTTCCGTTTACCGAGTAAGGTAAACTCGTAATAGCATTCAAGCATATCATAAACATAAGTAATTGACATGTACACATTTAAACCCACCATGAGCATATGCATAGCTGAATAAACGTCTAAATCATTATAAAGTAGTTGATGTAAAGACAATTGATATATTTATTTGACACAGACTATCTAGCTATGACAAAACTGGTTTCAAACAATTCTACGATTCTCTGACCTCAATATACCTGATTTGATCAGATTTGATGGTGTAAGACATTTTTATAAAGCACAAATTGATTTAATTATATGAGAATTGAACCGTATTTCTCATATTTCATCATAACATCGTTTTCGGCAATAATTTCCACTCTACGCTTCCCACTAATCCCCTCAACTAAGTCGTAGTCACGCCATTCGTTTCAAAAGAACTTATATACTAGCTAACGTATATAGTGGTTTCAAGTGATCTTACCAAAACAACTGGAAAACAATGTAAGGCTTGTTGGCAAACAGAAATCAATTAAATGAGAAGGGATTTCTATCCGTTCTAAGGTACAACCATTGTTTCATATACATCAATATGTTTTTTTGTTATATCCCGATAAGTAGAAAAACTGTACTCTTGGTGTTTCGTCACTTATTGTGGGTCACTTCTTCAGAATATATAAACAACCACCTATTCGGTCATTTATTTACTCTGAATAAGTAGTCAACATTAAGTCACGAAATGTCAAAAGTACAATTTTTCTACTCATCGGTATATTACAAAAACTATATTTCCTATTAACTCTTAACCCAATCTTGAATTTATTTAAAACTATCAAATTCAACCTTGGTATTGATACATTATGTAACAAGTTTAATATCACTCAGCCAGTTGATCATCATCCATGTCGTGTAGAGACAGGTATCTACCTCAGTACAATGGAAGTTTGGTCGCGCAATTTCGTGGATTGGTTGATGTTAGACACTATCACCATTGGATGCCGTCCAGTACGTTAAGCGTTTGCGCGCGAGACCGAAAGCCCTGGGTTCGAATCTCGCAGGGGGCGATGTCGTGGATGCGCCCTGCTGAGGAGTCCCACAATAGGACGGAACGGTCGTCTAGTGCTTCCAGGTTTCCAAAGGTGGTGGTCTAACATCAATCGGTTTATGATCTCAATCAACAAATGTAGGACTTGATGCAAATGAGCATCTCACTGCCTTCTTGTGGCGGGGTGTTGTTTACGAGAATGAAAGGACGAAAAGCGAATGTCCAGCAATTTAACCGGATTCCAAACCAATGGTGCACATGAGCTCCAGTATCCTAAAGGAACAAATGGTGTATGAACCAATTGTTGGTCGACGGCTTCCATGGGACTGCATCTCCTCACGATGCTCCACTGCCCTGTGGATCAGACCCTGAGGTCGAAGGCTCGAGGAGTGGCCTCCTAGGAAAACCACCAGCTTCGTTTTGGGTATCTGGTCAGTGCCACAGCCCTCACACAAGTCGAATGACTTATGTAGCGCATATGTATTTGGTGCCTCCTTGTATCAATATCTGTGTGTTGAAATAAATAAATAAAATGATTAGTTAATAAATCCACATTATGATGGATTAATTTGACTAGCCTAAGTAGATATTTTTAAGTAGTATTTGATTTCTTTCAAAAAGGAAGATTTCATTTTCAACAATACTTTCAGAGTTCACTTCAAAACAGGCGTGAAATTTTGACATTTCTATACAGATTTTCAAATGTGTCTCTTTTGATCGATTTTGATGTAGGATAGGTCTTTTCAAAATCATAACCTGAGAGTGTAAAAAAACTGAAAGGTGACTATCAAAAAATTAACATGGGAAATGAAAGGTTATACAGGGTAGTCAACAATTCCCCAAAGAACATGATGATTACTTGCTCGAGGTATATAAGACAAGGAACTTCTAAGTTGCGAAAGTGAATATTTCTTTGTGATAGGTTGATTTGAAAGGGAGAGTTTGTTTGCAGTTACCTAATTTATCCATTGAAATCATAAAATGCTAGTTAAAGAACGTTTTTAATTTTATAGTTCATGGAAAGATCAAAATGAAGTCAGGTCCTAATAACAACACCTGTTCGTAACTAACTAAGGGCGAAAAGCGAATGTCCGGAGCATTAACTGCGTGGGTGGACATAGAGAATCCACATAGGGGAATTGGAAATCCCTGATTTCAAACAAATGGTGCAAATGGGCTCCAGGATCCTAAAAAAAGGCTGCCGCCGGCTGCCATGGGACCTAATCTCCTTACGTCGCTCCACTCCGCCTTGTGGATTAGACGTTTAGGTCAGAGTCTCCGGTTGTGGCCCCCTAAGAAAACTACCTGCTTCGGTCTGAGCACCACACACAAGCGACTTATGTGGCGCCTATGTATTAGGTTCCCCTGTGTGCCAATATTTATGTGTTTAAATATATAAATATAAAATAACCTGTAAAATGCAATGCAGACAATGTCCTTCAAAGGATTTGTTTAAACTTTAATATCAAAATGCAACAGAAATTCCTAGTAAAATAGAAACCATTTCATACCAACAGATTGAATAGAACTGTAATTCATATTGTAGTGAACGAGAAAACAAGTGAGGATAATCGAATATATTTGAACACAAAATTACAGAATCTGAGAACTATACCGTAAATAGTGAATTTGTAAAATATCAATCCAATGTCTTTAACTTGACTGTTCTTTTTGCAAATATCACTCAATCGTCTATGACTTCATGATTCCTGCATTTTCATACCAATTGCTTTCTGTTGGCATTCTTTCCTTCTCGACTCTCTGCTGCTAGACATTCTAATTCTGACTATCGTTATATACTACTCATACTGATATAAGTAGGATACACTATAATATTACCCTTTTCTTACTAAAGAATTCACAATTTATCTACATAAAAATACTGTTAGAGTGATTCAGAAAACTCCTCGCAATAGCCAAAAAGTCTCAGGAAACTCTAAGAAGCATTTTATTCAATCAGTGTTCATTACAAGTTTAGCCAGAAATATCAAGAAAGTGAAACGACACATGTAGAGTTTCTGATAAACTGATTACTATACTGCTATTATGTTTAGTAGCATTCTAGAATTTTCGGCAAACTCAAAGACATCTAAAATACTATAAAAACTCTATATTTTCTCTACTCAAAAACAAATCTTTGAAGTAAAGTGCTTCTCGAATACTTCGCACCTTTTCACTCATGTTCAAGTCAGTGTGTAGTTCTAGCTTGGGTGGGGGGTTACGAGAATAGCTTAGGAACCGAATATGATGTTCAATTAGCAAGACTGATCAAATACACTTGAAAGACATTAAACGGATAGATTATAATTATTGAAAGACATTATTATTAGTATTATAAATAGTAACCAACTAACCTTTGTGATATAATTGAAGCATAAATAGCTGAATTATTTAAATCTTGTCTAGTTGAACTAATCGTTTTATAGATTTCAATTAATTTATATGCTCGAATACTATCAACACCAGATAAAGTTTCTGAGAAATGTGAAAATATCGGTGATAAACTAATCGATTCTAAACGTTTCAATTGTCTAGATGTAGTCACATATAAATTCTGTAAACAAGAAACAGAAACAAAAAAAAAACATTCAAGAAAAGATGAACAAAAATATTGAACGTTATTGTTTAGGAAAGATAAACTGATGATCAGTATAAAGATCATTAGTATTATTAGTTATTATAAATCAATTAAAAGTTTCAATAATTAAGATCATGAGTCAATTGAAATTAGAACATCATGGGAAACCTGGAAGTACAAGACGAGGTTGTGGATGAGCATTGCCAATGAAGAATATCACAATAAGGCGAAACAGCCATCCAGTGCTTCAAGATTATCAAGTTATAGTTTGCTAACTATTGTATAAAATCATTAACTATAAAAATAATTCCTGTGTACAATGGTAATCAATGAAATGAATAGATTTAAGTTAAAAGTCTGTGCTGATGATGTCGTTCAAAAGAACGATGAAAGCTCCACGACTAAGCCATCCAGCTCAGAGAACAAAACTTCATCAAAATCATCCATCTGAGCTATAAATCTTCTCCATCATCTCAAGTTAAGAAAGTCTCTGACCTAGAGTAAAGGAGATGTTTGTAACTTAGTACTTTTATATTCAAAACAAATCAAAGAACATAACATTAGCGGCTTATAATGTTTGATAATTAGATTGAAATTACTATTTGATTGTTAGTATAATGATGTAAGTCAATTATTAACCAACGCTTTAAGAAGCTGTACATCTTAAAAAGGTTAATCACATTAGCAATAAGACTAACCATCGATGACGTTAGATGAGAAATATGCGATATAACTAATTGACTGGCTTAGATAAGTAAAATATTAGATGTCAAATCAGTAATCAAATTATAACGTACTCGATACAACATCTTCTCATTCAGAATTTGATACCATATAGAGTACAAGAAGTATAGACAGATTTTAAGTCAGAAACTACAACAAAACAATTATTCTAAGCTTTCTCATCTTTCAATACATTATCTAGTTAATGTTCATGGTAAGACTATAATTTCTGGACGACCTTTGAGCGACGTCAGACTATCCTTGGGAGTGTCCACCTAATAATCAAGACCAACTGAGGATTATAAACCAGTGTAGGAAATACAAATTATGATGAACAGTTGATGATTAAAGTTAGAAATTAGATTTAGGATTTTCATCACGAACTTACATCAGTTATAATATCAAAACTCTATTTATCTGAATGAATGAATTTCGCGTTAAAGTCCGAGACCTGTTATCTTATATGTGATTGGCTCGTCCACAAATTATAGTCTCGTCATGTGATGTCTAACACTTCAACTAATCCACCATCCATCATTGTCTTCAGTAAGTAACTGCCTCACAACAGACACTATTGAACTTCACTACGTATAGCTTCTCATTAGAACTTCAGGAAATCTCATGAGCAGGATAGTAGATATACACTGCTGAAGAATCTTATAATACTAGGATAAAATGGCCGATGCTATGTCAGAAACTATAACAAAACAATTATTCAAAGGTTTATTATCTAACTAATGCTTATCTGCAAATCTGACTGATGTTTTTTTCCAAAAAACAAATCAATCTCTTCTTCAAATCCTAATTATTAACTTAATAATATTCTCAACTGTGTGTGTGTATGTATGTGAATGAATGAATGAACAGAAAAGGTTTCTATCTCATTAAATTCAAACAATCATTAACGAAATTCATAAAAGTTCTATTCAATGAATTGTTGCTAGGTCACTTAAAAAAACAATCAATGAATAATTATTAATTGCCATAGAAACATGAAACTTTTTTTAGGAGAAATTAAAAAAAATTTTCCAACTTGAATATAAATTCATGAAATAATAGAAATAAAAAAAGACAAACAAACAGTAACTGTGTAAAGTAAGATCTAGATGAATCTTGTTTGTTTTGTTTTTCTTTTCTGTCATGACAATATGACAAACAAGTTGTAATAGTTTAAATTATGCAACAATATAGAATAAAGCATAATAAGAATACATAATGAAACTGTTATAACGTGAAAAAATATGCTGATTAAGGGGTAGCGAATTACTGATCGGACCAAAGACGCACAAACACGTAGAACAGCCTAGGGTTCTGATTGGTCCCGCTTCCCTATCTAACCCAGCCAGTTGAGTCCAGAACACAAGTTTCAGCCTCGGATATATGAATCATTATATTTCAAACATACTTTGTTTATATACCAGTCAAGCAGTCCACAACGTACCATAAAATAGAAAATCACATTGTACAATAATGGCCACTAGGAAAATGACACGTTAAACAAACATTGACCAATAAGATGATACCATTTCATGTCCAAGGATAGCATTAGGCTTAACAGGATGATTTTTGGGATATTTTCCTGAATATCCCAACAGAAACCTTTAAATCTTTTTACGCTTTTATTTAAAAAATTCATCAAGTGCATTTTAATGAATCGTTGAATTCATAAGTCAATTTAAGCTAGACTATTGTTGAACATTTGGAAGTATTAGACAGCTGACGGTTTGTCATAGTATGCAACTCCTCAACAATGCTAGTACACTAATTCAGGATCTTCGATCCCAAGCGTAAACGTTTAACCATTAGACTAGTGAACCGATATCCAATGGTGTTAATGTCTTAACTTCAATCAACCCATCATCTTAAACAACCATTCATTCACTGTTTGAGTTAGATACTTGTCTTTGCTCGACACAGATTGGATGTCTTCAATAGAACTTCAGTAAATCTATCTTGAAACCAGTCACAAATGAGAAAATGATTATTGATCTAAACAGGGGTTTGTGGAGATTGTAGTCATTTTAATAGTTGAATTCATAAGTCGATTTATTAAAGAATGTTGATATATCTAAACAATGTGTTTGTTTCTAAGCAAAGTCATCGTTAATTATAATTTATACTATTGATATGAATCAACTAAACTTTTGTTTAGTAGACAACAATTTCCAATGGAGCATGTTTCTTATGATCTAGTTTTGTAAAATGTTGTTAATATGAAATTCTAACTTCTTTTATTAACAATTAAATTGAACGAAAAATATAATCATCAGTGACACAAATGTTTCGTAATTATTACTACTTTGTACATTAGCCCCTAAATGCCTTATTATGGTCGAGAGAGGAGAGAGTACGCACTCCCTCTCCAAATGCTTTCACATGGCCACGTCAATACAACCACTGATAGGGAAGTTCTAATCACTGCTTTCTCGTGGCATTACTGTTGTTTGCGAAATTGAGCGGACGAAAAGTGAATGTCCGGCGCATTAACTGTGTAGGTAGATATAGTGGATCCACCTAGGGGGGTTGGAAATCTCTGGTTCCAAACCAATGGTGCACATGGGCTACAGTATCCTGAGGGAACGAATGGTGTATGAAGCAATTATTGGTTACCATGGGACTGCATCTCTTGACGTTGCTCCACTCCGCCTTGTGGATAAGACCTTTAGGTCAAAGACTCCGCTTGTGGCTCTCTAAGGAGACCGCCTGCTTCAGTTTGGTTACCCGGGCAGTATCACAGACCTCACACAAATGAAACGAGATTTGTGTGGCGCATATATATCTAGTGCCTCCTTGTACCAATATCTATGCGTTGAAATAAATAAACATTATCATATATAAATATTGAATTATTAGTATCTGCGGGGGTTTGTGTACATTATAGTAATTTTAATAGTTGAGATCATGAGTCAATTATAGTTAGACCACCATGGAAAACTTGAAAGCACTGGACGGCTGTTTCGTCCTATTTGGTAACTCCTCAACAGTGCACATCCACGATCACGGTATATACAAAAACGATCTATTAGATAAATCTGTTTATCATGTTCTTGACATTTTTATGTTCATTTGTAATATTAATATACATTTATCCATTTCCTATACATAATGATAAATGTATCATTATGAAGATTTCTCTTTGGAACTATTTCTATAAATCTTTGAAAATTATGCCTTCAATATGCATTTCTGAAATTTATCTTCTAGGATAAAGTTATTGAGATAAATATACCACAGTGAAATCGTTCACAAAGATTAACTAGATAGTATCGAAGAAAATACTATTTATGAACTTTGTGTATTATCAGTAGTATAATCAGTGATTATTATTATTATTACAACAAATATGAAGTGAATTTTCAGTCATTATTATTGATGAATTAATAGATAAGATGGCGGTTGGAGGTAGTCAACAGCAAAAGCTGAACCGGAGTATCGTGCTTTTTGGCATCCATTCCTTCAAGATTATAGGTACATCTTGTTAACGAGTGCCAAATTACACGAAATCTAGATCCAAGGTTTCCTGTTCACTACATCTAACCAAACTATCTTATCTCAACATAATGCACTCAATGTCAAGTCACCTAGACTAGTGGGCCACATTGCAACTTGATCGATAGCATTCAATCTGCACTAACAAAGACCTGTCACATATCACATTGATCACTAACCAGTAGTTACTTAAGAGAGTGAATCCACTGAAATACATTACAGATTCTTTAATCCAACTAAGAAAACTGATTCTAGTCTAAAAACCAAAAAAAAACTTTCAAACAAGAACTATGGTAACTAAACAATATGTTTATGATGTAATCATAGCAAATGAGTAGTATCAATTATAGATCAAAAAATAACATTGTCAATATCATCTTTCAGCACTTTATAATCATGATGATAATGATGATGATAGTACATTAGTTAAAAGATAGCTGAAATTCACTTTCTAACATACATATAAAATGTAATCAACATAGATATACTACTACTATGTATCATAACAGTAATATATGGAAACAAACAACACTTGACATGCAATAAAATTTGTAAAACAAGTACACTCATTTCAATCATTTTGAATATATATATATCACTTACCTGTATATATAAATAGATAATTGTTAATAAACAAATTGGAATAATCATGTATATATTAAGTGTACAAGCAAGGCATAATGTTAAAAACATGTTAGTACACAATTTAATGTACTATTCAATGAAACCAATACTGGATTATCTAATGTTGCAATATCTTGTGAAAAACGATTGACAATTCGACCCTATAAAAATAAATTCATAATTGAAGATTAGAAATGAATTAAGTAGTATAATTATTATGACTAAAAAAATGCATTAAAATCAATCATGTATCAGTAGTCAGTCAGTCAGTCAAACTACAATGTATATGATCAGGTACATATATGCATCGGTTCAAGTTGTTACATCTTACTCATTAGCACAACAAGACCAACATCAAATTCATAGAACGAGTTGCTTTGATCTATTCTGAGCCATGTCACCAACAGTCTCCAACCATTGGTTACGATAGTCACACGTACCCCAACCAAGTAGTATGCATCTATCAACATGGCTCAGACTACAAGTTAGTGATTTTAAGAACTGATGCCATGTTTTGGTTTGGCCACTCCTAACTTTCTCCCAACCATACCCAACACCGGTTAGCATTGCACGTCGTGATAATCAGTGTTCAGGCATACGTAACACGTGGTCCAACCATCTCAGTCGATGAAGATTCACAACCTCATCAACTGATTTACCATCATTCCCTAATACCCTGCGTCTAACCTTACTATTACTTACCCGCTGATCCGAGCAGATGCGAGTAATATTTCCAAGACAACTGTGATCGGATACTGCTAACTTACGGCTATCTTCTATTCTTAATGACCAGGTTCCGCAGCCGTAAAGTAAAACAGAACGAACTGCCGCGCAGTATACTCGTTCCTTAATTAATAGTCTTCACAATGGGTGACGTAGTAGATAGTGTAACTTACAAATGTATCGGCGCATCAGAAGTTGGCATAAGTCTACTCTCCTTCTAGAAATAATATAACAGAACCTCTACTAACTAATGAAGGTGTTTTTATCACGAAAGTGAGATGATGAACAGATGTGCAGAACATAAACCGGGTTGATAGATATGTATATGCTATAGAAAGATGTTATAAAACGTAGCGAGAAGTATAGTTCATTCTGTCATTTTCTTAATTAGTGATGATCATCGCTAGTGTGTAGGCTAAGATACTGCTTACACATTCAAACCAGAACAGATACAATAATAATGTGATCACTCTTAAAATCATTTGACACTAAGTTGTTAAGTAGTAGGCATAATTTATGATATGATAACAACCAAAGAATGATCGTATGCTTATTCATTCTGTTAGAATCTGGATCTCTGTACACATCAATAGTTTTCAATCAGAATTTACGAGTCCTTGCGGTCACTTATCACCTAAGTTTAGATCTTAGATGTCTGTTACATTATTCCATTTGTATATTTAAAAAATACATAACAGCAAAAATGATGAAAACATGTCAATGTAACTTACATGAGGAACCAAATCGAAAAATGTAGCTGGAGCATGTAATACATAGCTTAATAATCGACTATGTAATCGTATAACACATCCTAAATGACCGATCGATAATGTATATATAGATAACATTGCGAATAAAACTAAGATAAAATGAGAAAATAACAATAATACATATGACATAATTATAATTACCAAGCAATGAATAGATTTTGTTTACATAAAGAAGGAATCAATTGAAATAAGAAACAATAATGTAATGGAAGCATAAAATTGTTTATACTACTACTAATACTACTAATACTACTTCATACACACAGATACATGTATCCAAGACAAAGAGAATTAAAGAATCCAAACATTTCTATTTCCAGATTAGGTAAAAAGTATGATTTATAAGCTAACTAAAAGCATGGATATATACATTTATACCTTTATAATCATAAAAGCAAATATTCATGCTACATATACATATATGATATTGTTGTGTTTCTGGATTAAACCACCTGCCTTTATATAATATAACCATATTCCAAATATAAAATAAATGATGATACTGCATAAAATTCCTTTAATTGAAATGAATTCAAATAAATAAACTATTTGCCCAGTGATAATTATAATATCCATATAAAGATTGATTAAACCAGTTATAGTGAATGGGAATACATTTTCAATATTTGCAAAATCTACTGTTAAACAATTGATGATACATTGTATTGGTGCTTCATTATAATGACAACATTGAGTACTGTTGCTATGACAGCGACGATGAGAATGAGCATGATGAGGATCATTCAAATGATTCAGATTAGATTGTTTTAATTGAGTAATAGGTTGAGTAATAAACCCTAATGGTAATTCTTTTGATTTTATTATTAATATTAAACAATTCCTATAGAATCGTGTATTAGCATTTAATAGTCCAATAAAACCGATAAGATCAGCAATGACTTTTGTGATACCTTGATAAATTGAAATGATTAGATAATAAAAAAAAGATGAAAAAGAAAAACATAAAGAATATTCTCAGTATCAAAGATGAAAGAAAAAACAACACATTGAACATTGTATTAACACAAATGTCTATAATTTCTACCTCTTAGTCAGTCAGTCAGCAACAACGTAGAACTTCGTACGTACTTACGTACATCAATTCAAGTTGTCATACTATATTAGCACATACATACAATTGTCGATTAAAATCCCATTGTGGTAGAGGAAGTAAAAGTATATACAGTAATCGGAAAGATAAGGATTTGAGGATGTTTTTCAAGGAAAATAACCCAGTGAAATAAATTTGGAAAGAGAAAAAAGGAACAACAACAATTCAGAAGATTAGGATTCGGGAGAACACAAAGAGTGGATGCACCTGCGCCATTGCAAATGATTTTCAGCAATGTCATTCAACGTCTCTAACCATCCGTTGCTATCATCTCGCTGTCCCCAACCAGAACGTCTACACCTTCCAACATGGCTCAGTCCACTTCTCTGTGACTTCATGGACTTGTGTCGTGTTTTGGTCTGGCCGCCCCTAGCTTTCTTCCAACCTACTCCTACACCACAAAGCATCGCACGTCGGGGCAGTCGGTGGTTGGGCATACGTAACACAAGTCCCAGCCATCTCAACTGATGAAGTTTCACAACTTCATTAATTGATTTGCCATCCTTACCTATTACCCGTTTCCTGACAAATGCATTACTTACTCGATGGTCCCGGGATATACGAGCAATGCTTCGAACACACCTATGATCGAATACTAGTAACCTCTAATGAATAAACGATAATTTAGTTTCATATATCTTGGAAAGCGATATTACTTTGGAAATAATCAAAACGTTGAAAAAATTTTTTGATTAGAGTTAAAATTTTAATTCGAATAGATACTTCTACAGGTTATTGAGATCTTACATTCCTTCAACCAAATAATTACTAGAGTTCTGAAGGAGAGTTGTGTTCAATGATGTTGGATATCAAGTAATAATCACCGACTGTAATAGATAATAATTGGACAATATCATGAATTGAGTAAATTGAAAGATATATGGTGAGATATGGTGATCTGAAAACTAAATGCTAGTAAAACGTCCCGTTGGTCCCAGGTTTGATTCTAAATAGGATGATGGATGCACAATCCTTAGAAGTCTCGTATTAAGACGAAACAACAGTCCAATATTTCCTAGTCGATGATAGCTTTCTAACTGAAGTTAGTTCGTGATGAAAAAATTACAAAATTAACCAATTTTCACATCTAGATACTAACAAATGACTAAATGTCACGCGACTTCATGGACAATCAATATAGACATTAAGCATTTGATTATTGTTCATCCATGGAATGCTATTGTCTTGTTTTGTTTTTCGAAAAAATCTTGAAGCGTTGTACAACAACAACCAACTACAAAAGAGAAATATGCTTAAAACGTTCGTAGAAATCTAATATGATACTAATAGGTTAGTATTGGTAGTTCATAAAAGTCTGATGACAGTTAAAGCAAGATCCAATACAGTAATACTAATATTCAGAATAATCAATTAATGACAGGATAAAAGATGTTTAATGAAAGGACTGATCTACTTGAAAAAAACAATCAAGCATATAGTATAAAAGACTTGTAGCTTGAATGATTTTGATAGAGTTTTGTTCTCTGAACTAGTTAGTTTAGTCGTGAAGCTTTCATCGTTCTTCTGAACGACATCATCAGATGAGAATTGTGATAAAAAACAAAATAAATCACTGCATATCACGATAAAATAATCTTCAATTATTCATGCACTAAGCACAAATTTTATGCGCTTAGCTTTGAAACATACTAATGCTGAGCAAAGTCTAACGATACTACTCAGTCACCTAAATTGAACTAGGTGATATAGAGTTTGGAATTGAAACCTACAAGTTGAATGTCATCGCTCTACACAACAATACAAAGAAGTGTATTCACCTGGAAAATGTATCAAAATTAGGTAACTGAGTGTCTATTCACAATTTTAGTGGATTTACGATATAACACAATCATTATCCTAAATAACATTGATGATTTTGCTCACTTCAAAATTTGACATAAGTGTAAAGAATTATGATTGTACAAAGATTAACTATCCCATGTTATGATATAACGGAACTTTTTAACAAGAAAATAAAACTTCAAAAATTTTCTTTAGGAAATCAAGAAGTAAGTAAACATAATCATATGTCACAAGGCAACAATTTTTATAGGTACATGAAATGTCCGAACAATGTGGGAGACCGGGAAGACCAGTTGGAAATGGATAGGACAAACATTGAAGAAATAATCAAACTGCATCACGAGGCAAGCCCTAACTTGGAATCCTGAAGGGAAGCGGAAAAGAGAAAGGCCAAAGAACACATTAAGTCGGAAAATAGAAGCAGATATGAAAGGGATGAATAACAACTGGAATGAGCTAGAAAGGATTGCCCAGGACAGGGTTGGATGGAGAATACTGGTAAGCGGCCTATGCTCCTCCACGAGGAGTAACAGGCGTAAGTCAGTAAGTAAGCTTTCACTTGGAATTCTCAAGGCCCAACAAGAAGAGGAAGACCAAAAAATATATTACGCTGAGAAATGAAGATAGACATGAATCAAGAATGAACAACAAGTGGATAGAAC